GACCGCGCTCCCACTGTCAACCAATATCCTCTTTACCTCAAAATTAGCTATGATCGCTGATATGACCACTGCATTATCGTGTGGATGTGACAAGACTTCCAAATCCTGTTACCCGAATGTGATTTCTTCCATGTCACCAGGCACCATCCTCAAGCTCGGGCTATACTGCCTGGCATACTGCTTACGCCTACTATTCGAGTCTCCTTCTGATGTTATTCCTCCAACAATAATGTTAATGGTTCCTGCTTTAGGCTCGTCATTCCCTCTTCCTTCTGGACCTTTCCCCTTGTCTCAATCGTTCATCGGGCGCTTGTCATAACTAACGTATGGACTTAAATAGCCTCTTTTTAATAGAGCCTCAATCTCTTACTGGAGGGCTTTGAAGTTCTCCGTTGTATGCACATGGTCCCGTTGACAGTCACAATACTTGCTCCTGTCTCGAGAATTAGGAGGGGACTGCATCCTTGATGGCCATTTAAACTCCTTCATATCTTTGATTTCCATTAGGATGTTAGACCTGGAAGTGTTTGGTCGAGTTAATGATGTCGGCTGCGTCTCCTGTCCCTACTTGTTCTTTTTAGCTTCTGGACGAGGATTAAAATTGTTCTATCTTTTGTGTTCGGGTTTCTCCGAGGTCGGGTGAGAATTTCTCCTCGGGTTCAAAATTTCCTCCATATTAATGTATTTTTCTGCTCGGGTAAGTAGCTCAGTCATGGACTTCGACGGATTTTTTGAGAGGGACATTTTGAAGGCATCGCATCTTATAGCATACGTGAGGGCAGAGATTGCTGCGGTAATGTGAAGGTCGAGTATCTGAAGTCTTTCCTTGTTGAACCTAGTCATGAAGTTACGCGGGGATTCATTTGGTCCTTGACTAAGCTGCATAAGAAATGCGACCGTCTTCTTGATGCGCTTACTACTGGCAAAGAAAGTGGAGAACTTGTCAGCCAAGTTAGAGAATGAAGTAATGGAATTGGGTTCTAGGGTAGAAAACCAATCCCTGGCAGCGTTCGTCAGTGTTTGTGGAAAAGCTTTACACATTATGGGGTCTGGTGCCACCTGGAGGTTCATGACGTCTGTATACACGTTGAGATGATTGGTAGGATCAGTTGTCCCATCATACTCCTATCAGTGTTTGTGGAAAAGCTTTACACATTACGGGATCTGGTGCCACCTGCAGATTCATGACGTCCGTATATACGTTGAGATGGTTGATAGGGTAAGTTGTCCCATCATACTCCTTCATGTGGGGGAGTTTAAACCTGTCTAGGAGTGGATAGGAGAGCACTTCCGGCGTGAAGAGAGTGTTAGGGGTAAACCCCGTCATACCTTAGGTGTTCTTTTGCAGTCCGATAGTGATTCTATCCTGTATGATCTTGGCTAGTTCATCTAAGTCCATGGTGACCAACCTCGAGGCCGAGGCCACTAGGGGTACACCCGAGGCCCCGGATCTCCCATTATCATGAACTTCTTGAGTATCCCGAGCTCGAGCATCGGTCATGAACCCTCCTTATTGTCCTACTGTCGGTGTCGGTGGTTATTTCGACGTCGGATGAGCATCCCTTTGGCTTAATAACTAAGTCAGCATTGTCACTTGCTGACGAAATTTTTCAAAGGCACCCGCATCAACCACCTGTAGTTAGGCAGTTGGTACTGTAGATGATTCTTCTTGATGAGTTGGGGGCACTGCAACGGGTGGTGGGTTTTGTATCATCCACGTGTTTGGATAAGGATGAGACTCTCATGGTAGAATCCTTTGAGCATAAGGTAATATATTAACAGTAGGACTCTATCTGTCTTAGGTTTGGATAAACCTTGACACAAGGGAGAATCCTAATAAGTCGAGGGCTGCACAGTAAGAGGTTTAATCGTGATCTCGAGGAAGACCTAGTGGTCGAGAACAGANGTGATCTCGAGGAAGACCTAGTGGTCGAGAACAGACAATCCCGAGGAGATATAGTCGAGGAGGTCATGAGGCATTGAAGACAAATTGGAAAGATACTACTCAGGTCCCGAGCTCGAGCTCGGCCTACATTGTACTCCTCAATAGGGATAATTAGTATTCGAAAATCTTGTCAAGATCACTAGTGTTCACCCCCTACACTAATAATTATTATTTTATGCTTTCATCATTCAATGAACAAACTATTTTCGATGCATTCATATTCTTTGTTGTAATGCTTTCTTTAAATTGACTTCAAATTGTCTTTCATCCCAAAACAATCAAGAGCCAGTGAAAGATAGTCTAGCGAAGCAGACTACTTTTTGCACAATGCCCATTTCTGTTCTATAAAGAAAACTTTGTGGTGGTTGGTATTAGAGTTCCTGCTCATGATCCTTGATAAGAAAACTATGTATCTGATGCATGACACACCACTGAGGTTGCTGATCATAAAAAGAGTACTAAATAGCACACGCATATGCTTGATAGGCAAATTTCCAGGTTATGCTACATCGTCGAGAGCCTTGAGGAAAAGGTTGAGGTGTTCGAAGTAGAGATCTGCAAATTAAACATCAAACAGATGAAAGTCGAGCGACTTACGCATCAATGTCCTCGATCTACAAAGAAAAATGGAAACATTGAGACTTCTGTTATGAATACTCCAATATGAGATTGGTAATGGCAAGCCCCCAAACAAGAGTGTGCACTTAGGCTCAGAAATCTCATAGCCATGCACCTATAGGTTGCTGGCAATACAAAGGAAGTCGAGAACTTCCTGTTTAACATGGAACAATACTCTCTTGCGACTATTACTGAAGATGAGGTAATAAACATATCGACAGCTATTATGTATTTAGGTAGAGATGTGAAACCAAAATATGTTGATATTCAGACCAACAAGGCTCAGATAAATACTTGGGATCTCCACAAAGAGATGATTAGATTAAATTTTTCCCAAAAAATGTAGAATATGAGGCCCGACTGACACTATGGGAATTGAAGCATATGGGCTTCATCAGGTAATAAGCGAAAACCTTTTGCACGAAACTTGCTAGATATTTGAGATATGTTAGAAAATGATATGCTCTTCAAACTCATGTAAGGGCTGAAATAATGAGGAAGAAACGAATTATAGAGATGGAAGGTTGGATTTGAGAACGGCAATTGAGTTGCCAAATGCTTGATGAACTATCAAATCCAACCTAGAAAGGATCGATCACAAGGGAATAGCCAATTCAAAAGAGGAAGGAAACAAATTCGTCAAGCCTAGCTAGAGCTAAAACGGGGAAGAATGCTACTACCATAAGCCATCTAGGCAACCGTCAAGGCAACCATCAAAAGAAACTGAATCAAGGGAAAGGCATCATCGAAAAGAAAATTAGGAATTACCCTTAGAAAAGATAGGTGTTCTTTATGCACTGGTCTTTTCGGGTGAAAGATTGTATGAAAAAATAGTTTGTTTATCGCGTGGAGCCAACTGGCAAGTGAAGTTACAAGGTCAAATCAAAATGTCCAGCAAGCTAGTAGTCATTGCAAGGCCAATTCTGAGGATGAGGATGTCGTTCGTGCATTCTTAGATTAATACCGATAACTGTGATAGATGAAACAAAGATTATGGTTTCCACCAGATATGGAGCATTTGAATTCAAAGTTACACCTTTTGGCTTGGCAAATGCTCTTGTAACATTTTGCACCATGATGAATTGGGTACTTCATATCTCAATGACTTTGTGGTGATGTACATAGATGACATTGTAATTTACAGGGAGACCTTGGAAGGAACATGTGCAAGATGTAAGGAATGTGCTTAATTGGCTATATGAGAAATGTTCTCAATGGCTTCTCTTTCAAAGAGCGAAATTATTACAAATACAAGAGATCAAATATGGAAACTTCTGGAAGAGGACCCAGCAACACAATATTTGGTCGACCTCGTCAAGTAGGGTAAACTCACTATTTTGGCTAGATGAAGGTATGTTGAAGATAAGATATCAACTCTATATTCCAAATGACAAAGAATTGAGGAAATATTTAATCACAAAATGCCATGATGCCTTTTAGGTGGGACATTCCATAGAGAAGCGCACTTGTGCACATTTGCAACATGCATACTATTGGTCGAATATGCGGCATGACACTGCAACTTATGTGAAAACTGTCTTATTTGTCATTAAGGTAAGGTAGACCATCTAGAAAAGGTAAGCTTGCTAGAGTCCCTTTCTATCCTAACTAGGTCATTTGAGAGTGTATCGATGAACTATATTATAGGCTTTCCAAAGGTTAGAGATTTTGGTATTATCATTGTTATGGTAGACTCCTATCAAAATATATAACTTTCGTTGCAGTGCCTAAGTAGGTATCTTTGAAGGGAATTTTCAAATCTTCTTCAAACATATTGTCAAATAGGGATTGTCTAAGGAAATTATTAGTGATCAAAGCCCTTAATTCACTGGCATATTTTGGATTAACTTATTCAAACTTCTTGGTTCAACTTTGGGCATTAGTTCTAGTTTTCACCCACAATCTGATGGACAGACGAAGTGCTTCAATTTTATGTTGGAGGAATATTTTTGGCACTTTATCTTTACTTTGCAGAATAACCGGGTGAAACTTTTGGATGCGGCTCAGGTATGCTTCAATATCCAAACATGCTCTTCCACCAATAAGAATCCTTTCGAAATTGAATTGTTACTCCCTTATACTATGGATATTAATTTAAGTATCAAGTCCCTTCAAGCTACAAATTTCTCTCAAGAATGGAAACAAATTTTTGAAATTCCTCGAAAATCATGTCAAGCTCACTAGTATTCATCCATTGAACTAACAATTGTAATTTTCAACTTTCTTCAATCAATGAATAATTATTTTCTATGCTTCAAATTCTCTTTTGTAAAGTTTTCTTTAAATTCCCTTCAAAATTTGTCTTCCACCTTGAAATGATCAAGAACAAAAATGTAGTCTGGTGGAGCAAACTACTGCCACATGATGCCCCTTTCAGTGCTATACAGAAAGGCACACCATGATACCTAGGGTTGTCGCAATAGAGGCGGAATCATGGTCAACTGGCACACTTGGATGGCATGAGGCAGAAAGGAGATGCAGTGCCAATCAATGGCTGGACAATGAAGTCCAGATTGGGTGGTGTATGCCTCAGGTTGGGTGCAACGGGTAGTGTGTAGTTTGGAGGATCCACGTCGCCCGAGAATGCCAAGGGAGAGAGTTTTCTGCAATTTTTGAGATTTTACAAGCACAATTCATATGATTACTTAAATACTGAATAATAAAGTACTAAAAAGGATAATCTTTTGAAAAAAAAAAACAAACTGGCAAAATAATTCTTATTTCTTGTAATATGAAAGTAATGCACATGTTAGTTAACAAAAACTCACATAATTATTTGTGGAGAAAATGAATCGCCTATTTTTTCATGAACTAAAGACACATGGGTAAATGTTACATGTTTCAAATGTAAGAAATCAGTAGTAATTTAGGCATACATCTCATCAACATTGCACTCCCCCAAGAAAACCTTAATGTTCCTGGGCGAACCACAACTCCCCTCAGCAATAAGAGCTCTATCGTTAGCAGCCATGTGTGCAATTATCTTGTATATCATTTCAATCTGAAAGCAAAAACCACAATCAAACACACACCAAACTGCGTTTTATAAAATGTGACCAAGTGATTCTGTTCAAGTTTAGAGTCTGTATTATTAAATCATATTGAACAGTATAACAGACAACCTTTGAGGTTCTTTTTTTATTTAATACAGTCGAGCACTCCTGCTCTACCTTACAAATCAGGCAATAAATTCATAGCCGTGATAATACTTACATCGTCAGGGCAATGGCAACAGTAAGCTAATTCTTCTAGAGTTAGTGGTTCAACGAGCTCTTTACAGCTGAACAGTGAGAAAATACAAGGAAAAACAATGTTAATTACTCTTCAGCTAGATATATTGAAGAGTCGAACCCACTTAGCCACACATTTTCAATCCACAATTTCTACATTAATAAGTAATTAAGTTCATTAATTCAAGTTTTCAGAGAGAGAAAAAAAACTTAATGAATTCTCACAAAAAGCACATAACACAATAAATAAGTGTTCCTGGAAATCGGCTACTCTTGGTGCTAATAAAAACCAATCAAACCTCGTGGCTTGCAAATTATTATATGCATTTCTTAACATATAAAGTATTGGGGAAAAATAGGAGAATCAAAGTAGATCAATCAAAACCGAAGGCCCGTGTTTACAAGATTTCCTTAAATCGAATTCGCCGTCTCACCGGAGTGCAAGAGGTTATGATCGTTGTTCGATTCCCAGGATATAATCAGTTGTCGATTTAGGCTGCACTACATTAACCGCCTACGAACTAGCTGTGTCTCTCTCACAAAGAACTTAGCAAAGGAAGAAAAAAGAAATAAAAACAGAGGCTGCTGGAATTGAAGGAGGAGGAAACTATTTTTTTTTTCTGTTGTTGTGTTTTCTGTGTTTACTTCCAACCGAGAACTCTTCTATTTATACCCATAGAGGAAGAGACAGCTCTTTAATGCATTGAATGAGGAGTTACAGCATTGAAGAGGAAACTTATGTAATTCAAACAGATGATACTGATTTCCATTGAAACTGATTTTCATTCAATATTTCCAACAATCCCCCACATGAATGAAAACAAAGACTAAAGAGAGAGTAAACTGAATCAATCCTACATAGGATAGGTAGCATTTAGTTTTGAACCTTCCCTTGTGAAACATATCGGGAATTACTAGCAAACAAATGGATCTGATGCCTTGAACTGTTTTGCCAATTGTGAAAACCAAGACAATAGACATCACACAGGATCATTCTAGCCACAGCGAAGTTCTCAATATTGTGTTCGTTTTGGCCATGAACCCGTCGCCTGGTTCTG